AGAATTTTAACTTAATTTGACCAGATGGGGGTGGGTTTTGGTGGTCACACATTGGCTTTTGCCGCCATTTTACCCTTAAAAATAGAAAAAGTCGAATTTAAAAAAAAACGGCCCCACTTACGATTTTGCGGTTTTCAATTCCTCAATCTAGAGACCTTCCTTGACACTTTTATCCAAAAAAATCGCGGGTGGTCGTCAGAAAAATTAAATTTTTTTAAAACAAACCGTGAGACGTACAACAAGGTCAAAATCACTAATACACTTAATTTTATTGAAAATGTGCCTGGGTTCCTTTCAGTAAACTCAGATTAAATGATTGATTGAATTTAATTGAAGTTTCGACTGTGTTAAGAGAAATCATGCAAGCAGCTTTAACCTCATTTTAGCCCTGGGAGAGCCTGGAGAGGTATGAAATTTTGGGAGAGGCATAGAGAAGACACAAATGAGATAACGTCTGGTGATATTAATTAATAAAATGAGCAGTATACATTTACGTATAAGATTCAACTAACAGTCTTATGGTTTGGCATTCCGTATAGGTGCGAGTGAACTGAAATCGTACATCCCGGCACATTTGAAAGGTTGTGGAGGTAACTTTAAACTTTCAATATTATTAAAACAATAAAAATAATGAGAAGAACTTCATCAAAGAAACTGTCATTGGGGAAGGCTCGTTAAGTTTTAAAATTGTATTTAAAACAATAAAAATAATTAGAAGAACTTGATTAAAGAAACTGACATCGGGAAAGGCTTGTTAAGTTTTAAAATTGTATTTGATTTAATAACTGCGTAGAGTGAACGATTGATTAAAAATTAGGATAATTTAGATACACTTTATTTCAATTTCCTAAACACCCGATGAAATTACTGCAAATGCACTGCATACAGCATGCATGACACTGATGACATGAAGCTCGGACACTTTCTCGAATAATTAATAGTTACAAGTAAACAAAATCACACAAGCTCACGACAAAAAATAACCGTTACGATACGCAGCACTAGTGGGGCAGTATTCATATAAGCCATACAGCCCACGCTAGCCAATGTCAGCAACTTCTTAACTTTATTGTCGGAATCAAGAACCCTTTAGACGGTTCCAGTTTTGATTTAATTCGTTCCGATCGATGAAAACTAACATAAAGAGGGAAATAATTAACTAAAGAATCGAATACTGTGAGCTATTTAACCTTAATATAATTAAAATCTATCACTGAGCAGTAATTTTTATTACAGAAAGTTGGTACTGTGCTATACAGCCCGCGCAGTTTAGTAAATCTGTAATGCTAAATCTGTATTCTTATTTTTGAACCTGTAGTATCAGTTGGTGATTGGGTATAGATTGTAACCTAAATCAGCACTAAAGAATAATTGCTAGTGCAATATGCATATTTGTGTACAAGAACACCTGTAATGGCTATTCTAGAATAAAGTGTTGCTGATTCAGCACTATATTCCTTACTTAATCAGCAATCAATAAAAATTACTAGAACAGTATTTATTTTTGGTCTAAAACTGGTGCTAATAATGGGCCTGTTGCAAACTTTTGCTAGAGCAAAACTAAGAGTTGTTTCCTACAGATAATGCCTCAAAAATCACGATGAGCGCATCGGCAAAGTCTGAAATGCACTCATAACTTCACAATCTGCGTGAGAAATTTGCGGTTTTTTGAGCTTCCCGCTTCGAAAACGATACTACGGTACAGGTGAACATTTTGTTAGAGGAGTCGTTCCATTGGCGACAATACTCATCATGGCCGACGCCACACGGTGGATCGAGTCAATGGGAGGGGTCGGTCATCGCGCATAACGCGTCTTACTTTCTCTGATTACGGAGATTTCCCACCCTTAGAATAGAGCAAATTACACTCATCTAATGTATTTTTCGTCGTAGATTCCATTTTTCATCATTTTTCAGCCGAATAACGAGTTTTAATACGAGTTTGACACACTTTTTCATAACTATTGAAATTGGGATCCTTGATAGCTGTTTTTTCACGTTACTTTCGGCGAATGGGACCGTAAGCATCTTCCATAAAGAATAATTTTGCAGAACTTGACTCAAGGACATTACTTAAGGAGTGAGGGAGGGTGGCTTTACAGCCCCCTCACTACGAAGGTTGTCATATTTCTTTCAATTTCTGATAACATCGTTTTTTGTTCATGTTAATTGGTTTCTCGCAATTGCATACTGACACATATACGGAACATTCTGATAATGTTCATTTTTCTTCTCTTTTCCTCCAGCCAGTCACTAGACGTTTTCATTTTTATGAACTCTCTACTCTTTCAAATATTCAACAAATATGCATATTTCAAAAAATAGATCAATATATTAAAGAAATAAAAAAGAGATGTATATATATACTGTAGCTTCTTTTTATCGAGTCATCCTAGAAGATTATTATAGGTACTTATCACCAGATAAAAAAATTGAATGTGCAGAGAAAAAAAAAATTATATCATCTTCCATTATTTCGTTTTGTTCCTCAATGTTTGGAGTGAAGTTTGAAACATATTTATTGAATAAATATGA